CAAATTCTCGTTTATTTTTGCCCTGGTTGGTAGCTATGAAGCATAGACAGACATTACAAGATCCACAAGAGGTTTCCCTTAATTTGGTAGTAGTTTGACATTGGAATCCCTTAGGATGTCAACTATCTTAGATTTTAACATTCTCATTTCTTCCAAAATATCCATTGCATATTTACTTTGGGACTTGATGATCCCATTTTTTTATTGTGCTACTTTTGTTCTGAAGAAATGTTTTAGTTGGCCAAGATCCTTTGCTTGAAAATGCTTGAAAAGATGCTGCCTCACTTGAGCGATACCAAAATGATCAATAATCATGATGACGATGTCATCAATATAAACAAACATATATATGTAACCATTACGCGAGTTACAATAGAAGATAGAATAGCTAGCCTCACTTCGAGTCATACCAAACTGTTGAATCAAAGTACTAAATGTACCAAACCTTGCTCTAGGTGATTGTTTGATGCCATATAAAGATTTTTGCATTTGACATACAAGGCCATAAGACTCCCCTTGAGCAACAAAGTAAAAAGGCTCTTTCAAATAGACTTCTTTAAGCATATCACCATGTAGGAATATATTCTTTATATCCAACTAATAAAGAGGCCGATAACGAATGATAACAACGGACTGGAATAGTTGCACAAAAGGTGTTTTGGCAATCAAAGAAGAATTATCCCCATAATTCAACCCATAGGTTTGAGTATAGCCTTTTATAATGAGAGGTGCCTTATGTTGGTCAACTTTCCCAGCTGGACCAACCTTGTCTATATACACCCATTAGTAACTAATAACGAACTTGCCTAGTTCTAAAGGATCTAGGTACCAAGTCTTACTACTCTGAAATGCACACTTATCATCTATCATTGCTTGTTTCCATCATGGACAGGCAAAATGTTCATTTGCATTCTTAGGAAGAGAACTTGAGGACAAGGAGAAAAGACAAATAAAGTGGGGATGAGAAATATGATGATAACTTTAAAAATGTATAACGAGGAGAAGAATTACAAGTAAAACCTGTCTTTTGGAAGTGAAATGAGAATTTCAAACTCACAAGGTCAGACTTCTCAATGAAGTGAAGGAATTGGTGCCAAAGGTGAGTGTTGTGTTGTTCATTTAGGTGATGGCAATACAGGATGTGTACGACACTAATGAACAAGCAAGAGTGAAGATGAGCCAAGAGGGGATGGAGACTCCTTTAGAGGACAATAATGGAACATGATAAGTATATAGGTATGGAAGAAGTCTCGAATATAGATGATATAGCCTAAAATATGGAATGACTTTGAAGGTGACATCAATAGAGATAAAATAACTGAAGAATAGGCGAATAACACTTGCACCCTTTTTGAGATTGTGAGTACATGAGGAAAATACACTTATGAGACCAAGGAGAGATTTTGTCAATGCCAAAATTTAGGGCATGAGAAAATTACATAGTACCATAGACCAAAGGTAGTAAAGGAAACATAGAGTGGTGAGGATATAGAACTTGATGGGGATTTTGCCTTTTAGGATGGATAAAGACATGTGATTGATGAAATAACGCTTAGTAGCTTTTGTATTGCCCCAAAATTGATGAGGACCATGAGAGTGGAGAAGAGTTCGGGTGGTCTCAAGAATTGTGTTTAGCAACCCCATTTTATTGGAGGGATATGAGGTCAACATGTTTGATGCAACACACGAGTAGTAAATATGTAGGTACATTATCACTTTGTAAAGTGCGATAGGGACACCAAATTGATTGTTGGTTTCATGAAAAAAAGGATTGAAAATAGAAAATGATTTTGAACAAACTTTCATTAAATATCATAATTTAGAATGGAAAAAATAGTCAATAAAAGAAATAAAATATTTTGACCCTAATGCAGAGGAAATATGACTAGACCTCAAACATCCGAGTGAACCTAAACAAAAGGGGACGAAACCCAACTAATAGTGTGATTTGACAAAGAGCGATGAATATGCTTAAATAATGGATATGATTCGCAACTTATCAAGACCTAGACACCCTAATTAAGCATGAATCATTAGAGGAGATGCTACCACTGAGCCAACAAAAGAAGGCCTGTTTGGTAGTTGGAGGCCATTAGACTCACATCCAAAGCTAATGGTCCTCCTTGTATTCCAGTCCTGCAAGGAAACAAAATAACCAAAAGTTTGGGAAACATTTTCCATAATGATAGAGGGTAAATAACCAAAAGTAGAAAAGAGATATTTATTACCAGTAATGTCATTGGTAACCCTAGAATCAAGGGCTCAAGACCCTAAAGAGGTGAGAGATGTTATCAAAGGTATTACAAATGTGGGCAAGAATAGCATAGCAATCGAAGGTCTGGCAGTCTTCATACCATTTCAGGAAGTCATCATAAGAAGGTGATGGTAGAATCTAGAGACAGTGGTCAAAGAGGTACAAAATTCTAAGTGACATAATCATTGCGAGGAGGTACAATGTTCTAAGCCACAGGTTCACTAAATCCATTAAGGGCTCTTATGTTGAAAGGATATAAAATATGATTGACTCATGTGACATATATGCTCCACCTAGATGGGGAGTGTTATAAATATGATTTAATTATATTAGAGATATGATTTTATTACATTAAATTGGGAGATGTTATATGATTTGATAGTGAAATATCTTACCAGATATTTTCCATTATTAGGCATTGATTTTATCCCTTATTATTGTATCTCTTATTCATTATAAATAAGAGTAATCATGTGTGTACAAATTGCTTAATTAAAAACAATCCTCTCTAGTTGTGTTTTTGGTAGACTTGGAGTGTTACATGTTTACATTGCCCTGTTTTAGAATTTAAAGCTGAACCCTTTTATGATTTTTCTCACAATGGCAGTATAGAATGCATCCAGAGATTTGCAAGTTCCCGTCATTGCATTTCTATGACAACAAATTACTGAATGGCAGCCAAATGTCTAACAAATCAGCGCCATTTCATCAAACCAAGGGTCTTGGGCCATATGTGTTTTATGATATCATTGATGGGCAGGAGGTTCGTGGGAAAAATTCTGGTGTAATGTCACTTTGTAATGAACATGAAGCTGATGCTGCAGTTGAAGTACTAAAGTTTTTCAAGAAAAGGTTAATTTACTGTCTGTTTTTCCTACCTTTTTGTTTATTATAATACTTGCTCACGAAACTATGAATGTTTTATAAGGTACCCTGCTGATTTTGTTGGTGGAAGAATTGGTGTGATTACTCCATACAAGTGTCAGCTTTCTCTTCTGCGATCTCGTTTTCTAAATGCATTTGGACCTTTGAGTGTAGGGGATATTGAATTTAACACTGTGGATGGTTTTCAAGGTAGGGAGGTGGATATATTGTTACTTTCTACTGTAAGAGCAGCTCATGCAGGTATTACTGCTTCCGAAATAAACTCAAATTCTATTGGATTTGTTGCTGATGTGAGACGGATGAATGTTGCCTTGACAAGGGCCAGGTTATCACTTTGGATTTTGGGTAATGCAAGAACTTTACAGACTAATCCGAACTGGGCTGCACTTGTGAAGGATGCTAAAGAAAGAAGCGTGGCCATGAGGGTGAAGATGCCATATGATTCAATGTTCAAAACAGATAAAAATAAGTGCGTAGTTGAAAATTCTGATAATTGTGCAAGACCTCTGAGGCATGAGAAGAAGGTTAAGTATAGTGATCAGAGTGTAAACAAAATTTTGGTTCATGGTAAGGATACTGTTGAGAGGAAAAAGAAATGTGTTGCGTCTGAAGTCCAGGACAGAAATAAGGGTAATGAGGATGAGAATAGTTCTTCGGCTTTAGGAAAAGATGCTCTATGTAAGGGAAGGAAATCTGAAGATGAGCATATTTCTGTTACTAACGATATGGGATATCAGGTTGAAAAATATGAAAGCAGGAGCGCCCCCAGTGGCATGCCTATAATGTCAGGTCAGCAGGTTTGTGATGGGAGAAGAGAATGCAAAGATAAATCGAAGATTAGCATGGGAAAGACAACATTGGGTAAAAGACAACTAAAATTTCAACAATCAAGGAACAATTTAGGCTTTCCAGTGGAAGAGGCTGGTGGTGGGCGTAAGGTATTAAAACTTTCAGTATCCGAAAGACCAACTATGAATTCTGGAGGGATTAGGAGCAGCTCTACTGAAATTTCTGCTTCCTCAATGAAAGGCTGTCACAAAGAGAGAGATGCAGTTGATCAAGGAACTGCTCCTAATAAAAGTAAAGTTGATGAAATTTCAAAAAGGAAACAGCAGCGTGATGCAGTTGATGCTATTCTTTACTCATCTTTGATATCTGCAAAGAAGGACGAGACATTGACAAAAGTTTCTGCAAAAAGGCCTTTTCCCTCATCTGTTGCTAGTAAGAGTATCAAGCCGTCTAAGACAAAAAGTGGTAAACTTCTGCTATAATTACTAGTTTTGTATGATTTATCTTTTAGTTGATTTGAATACAAGGATGCCAAGAAAATAATGCTGTCTGAACCCTTGATAACAATATAAAGTCTTCTAGGCTTTTTTTCTAGCTATACTCAGATCTATCTTGCACTTTTTACTAAAGAACAGATGATATTGCTATAGAGAAAAACCCAAGTCCCACATTAAGTAGAGATATTATTTGGATAGCATTTATAATTAGAGGAAAATCTCATTCTATAAACTAGGTTTTAGTAATGAGTTAGACCCAGCTAATAATTCCCTCTTGTTATGTCAAGATATGTCTCATGGTTTAATTAGATGATTATCAGCTTTCATCTAAAAGTGCTATTGAGGAATAATGTAGTTAAATTATCTTTTGCATTCGTTTCTCAACTGTACTTGCATATATATGAAGGTGATTTATTTTATATAATGTTACTCCAAAGATGCAATAAAGGAATGGAAGGTGTTATAATCTACTTGTTACTCTAAAATTGTATTGTCAATCTCAGATGTTAGCTTTTCGATTCTGTTCACTGGTTCCCTTCAAAAAGGGTTGTCTTGCACTAGGTTGTCCTGGCAAACTACCGCTGTTTGAGGTCGGATTTGGGATCAGTGACAGACACCCCATTCTGTCTGACACCCAAAACCGGTGTGTGCCCAAAACCAGGGTCAGTAATGGTAGCAATTCATGGCAAAATATTCTTCAGAAGATTTTTGCTTTCTTATATGTTCTATTATAAAAGTCATGTTTCACATTCTGATTCAAAACTATTTGTTTTTGTTGCGTTTTCCACTGAATTTGAAACACTTTTTTCCGCAAGACCAGATCAATGAGCATGGGATTAAGAAAAGAACAATTTTGCTCCGAGGACTAACTAACGTTGAAGCTTTACATGATTCTTTTGTGATCGCCATCTTGAGTTACCTTGGTTCAAGATATTTTGCTGTTCATATCTGATGATTTCCCATCCATCATGTAATGGTGAGTGAATTTTCATTCGTTCAATAATGTGGAAAAAACTGAAATTTTAAAGCAATTTCATGCAATGAGGAACAATAACTACTTGTATAAATAGCCACAGATTTATGTTCATGAAAATAATGCTGTTCATAATGTTTTATCTTTTTTGAGGGTGAAAAATGGAAAAACTGGTTGCATTATACAACTTATTTTCTCTTTCGTTACGGTGGATTAGTTAAGTTTCTCAAATCCAAGTAACCAATTTGAGGAATTGGTTTATCAGAGACTTTCTACTTCTATTTGATATTCTGGCTAAAACCAATCCCAATAGGAAATTATCTTATGATTATTGCTTTGTAACGGGCACTTTATTACTTTTGATACCAACACTCCACACCCCATTCTCTTCCTTACCTGAAGAATTGAACTAACGTTAGAGTCCATATCATTTGTGTTTCTAAAAATTAGCGAGGATGATTCCTGATTTATGGAGATGATTGTCCGTTGGCATTACAACATGGGAATATAAAGTAATTTAGTGCATTGAGGTTCTTGCAAATTCATTCTGTATAGGTTATTTTTATGGTGGTTGACCAGAATATCCTTATTGGTATCGTTCTAAAGATTAGTTATTCGGGCACACTTTGACTTGTAACTACTGTCTGTTTTCATGTTTTGACAGTTTAAATCACGGATCGCGATGTGGGTATCTCGGATGCAGTCACAAGATTGTAGGGATGTCAAACGTAGTGTCTTATGAACGTAAGAGAAAATTGGAATTTGTTTATCCTTAATAGTGCAAACAAGTCTATTCGTTTTATATTATTAATTTTTTTAAAATAATTATTTTGTTTCTCCGTACTTTATGATTTTTCTTTATTTCTCAACTCTCAACCAAAAAAATTAACTGGACATTAACTTCTCTACTAAAATATATCTTATCGTCTCATGAAAAATGTAATAGTTACTTTTTTTTCACAAATAAATTATCGTGATTAATTCATTAAAGTAAAATATAATATAAAAAATGGGACAAAATTAACTCTTTAGTATGATATTTTTTTTACATAATAAATAGTTATATAAAATAAAAAGTAATAATATATGTATATATATATATATTTCATTAAAAATTAAAATAAAATAAATATAAATATTAAATTTCAATTCATTATAATAAGATAGTATAATAATAAAAAAATAGACAATATTTAGAATTATTCTTTAAACAAAGATCACCCTATTACTCTAATATACTTAAACTTGTTTATCTGATTTATCCCATAGATTAAATTGTTGATAAATGTCCCATGTTTAATTTTTATTTTTTTAGTTTTTAGATTTTAATTTTCATTGGCCTTGCGGCCTCGAGTTATAAAAAAAAATGTGGCATGCCAATATTTTAAGAAATGGTCGTGATTCAAAACTAAGATAACAATAGACATACACTGGTCATGTGCCGCAAACACATACCATGCGTCCATCTCGACAGAAAACAGATTACCCTGACGTACTTTTAATCAGATGAGTCATACAGTAATGAACAAAGTTGTATTTTATACTGACCTCCATTGTGAATCATATCAACAGTGTTTTATCATATCTAACAAATTAGCTGAGGCAATGAATTCCTTCACAGAATAATTCATAAGATCTCGGTATCGAAATTGTTTATTGTCAATTTTCATGAACTCAAACCCGTGTCACTTTTACTCCAGTAATGAATAGAGCTACGTCGTAGTACCGTATATGGATTACATAACGTACTTACACTAATTATGCATCAATTTCACATTTGGTGTTCACTTTTTTTTTTTTTTTGTTTAAAAAGATGGTTTTTATGTAACTGAAAGAATTTTTATCTCTTTAGAAATAATAACTAGGGTTACCGAAGAATCGACTGTGATAAGCTGAATTTCTACAAGGGAAACCTAAAAATACAATACAACTATGATTTTACAGGCTATAATTAGTATACACGGGAGGAGAGACGGGCATCCTTCCAATACCCATAAATTCAGCAGCAAATTCTTCATCATTTTTTCCCAGCATATCCTTTAAGCTACATTTGATATCTCTTCTTTTCAACACCCAATATCTTGGCTTTATCTTCTTCTCTAGTGAATAGCTAAAATACCTAGGGTAACCCACCACATCGGTTACTGGCCTCTCCATTGAGTTCACAAGGAATTCTACTTTTGGCCTAAGAACCCTCTCTATACTGTACCCAAGAAGAGGAGAAAAAGTGCGTATCATATATGCAATGTCTTCCCCTGAAAGCCCTAACTTCATCAAGTACATTATCCTGCAAGTATCATAATAAACAAATGACACCTTAATCATTCAATCACTCCAGGTTTCTGTTGATGCAATCTAACATTTATGGAGTGGTCATGATGCAGTTGAAGAAATTGGTAAATAATTTTTTTGTTATTTTTCATCAGAGAAAACTGAAACTTGCATCAGAACAATACCATCGTTATATCATTCAAAAAATCAAAAGCACGAATAATTACTTTATAATAGAAGATACTTGCCAGGTGCAAAGTAAACGTATAAATATTAGTTGGGTGAAGAGTAAACAAATGAGATACTGGAACAGCGGTAAAAAATATAGAAAATAGATGTGAAGAAAATACCTTTGTAGTACAGTTTTGTCAATGTCAGAAACAAGTAATTCTGGATACTTTCTGATAACCCCAGCAAGGAAAGTCTTAGAAACACCAACCCTACCAAGGAACTCAATCTTCCTTTGTAAAGTTTTATTAATGCTGGCAGCAAAAATTTCAGGGCAGCGGGCAAGTATTCTTCCAATAGTATCTTTATCTAAATCCATATTTTCAAACAACAGAACAATCTGCAGACAACAACGAGCAAGAGACTTGAATAGAAATTTTCTGAATAATATTTTTCATAATAAAACTGTACAGGGTGATGCATTATATAGACTAAACAGCTTAAATACTTTCCTTGAAAGGATAAACTTGTAGTAACAAACACTTGTACACATTTCTAATAATTATAAAGCTATTAGTGGGATTATATGAGACTATTACAATACTTCCCCTCAAGCTAGACAATTGACACTCGGAATCTATCATTTTGAACTTGCCAATAATAAGGTCATGGAATCTCATCATAGGTAGTCCTTACATCAGCACATCAGCTAATTGACAAGTTATCCGAGTTAGAAAATTATTCAAAGGAATGATCAAAGGATCTACATTTAGTAGGTTTAGATGATTGTTGTTGTTGAGTCTATTCATGTTTTCCTTTCCTCTGATACACCAACGTAGGTTACCAGCCTTGGTCTCAGCTGGTTTAGGTGCGGTGCCTATAGTAAAAGTTAATACCTCTATATCATTTGACATTTCAAATGACAACAAGTAAATACGATCTCAGGAAAGAAAAAACTCATCCTTCAAAACGATACTCTCCCACTATAGGTTCATTTTCCTGAAAGGTTAACATCAATGTGATAACATTTGCGCGGCTTGTAAGAAGCATATCACAATAAAACACAGTTAACACCAATGCATACTACCATGTATCTTCAGCCTCCTCTCTTTTTACCCAAATTAAACAAGCACACAAACATATCGCCACCCAAGAACCCCAAAAGTTCTATTTTACAGAAATTAGCTGGCCTTAAATGAATAAATATATGTTTTATATCTTACTCTGAACTGAACGTAAACACATGCAAGGAGAAAAGAAGGGTTGAGGCCTACAAACCAGCAACAAGACATTGTTATATGATGACAAAAACCGCTTTAATTGTGGTCAGCCCAAGCTTCCCTTAGTTGCAGCCTCTTTGGAGGCTGCCTTAATTACAACCTCAAGGGTATTTGTTTCCTACGTAGCCTAGGCATAAGGTTTACACAGAACTTATAAAATTTGAACAATCCTCACTTTACAACCTAGTTTTGGGAGGTTGAATAATTGACTCTTAACCTAAGTTTTTAGATAGTATCATAGTCTATCTTAGATCCATTGTTGAGTCACTTGCATTTGCCACCCGGATTGATAGCCCTAGTTCCGAGAGGAAGTGATGGAAAGTTGCTGTAATTGTGATCATCTATCCCACCTTAGTTCTACCTTAATTGACACGTGTGGCTTTTAGTACTTACAAAGTTTGGATAGTCCTCATCTTACAAGTCAGTTTTATAGGATAAGTTGAAGCTTTTTTAACCCAAATACAAATCATATTGAGTAATAGTTGAGAGTCGAAGTGTCGTAGTCTTAGTGAAAAAAATTCTTGAGAGAGTGAGCTCAGAGGATATCTATTTTTAATTCTGAACAAAAATACAAAAGGGCTGACAGAAAACCTACACCTAGGGCCCCATATGATTGACAACCACAGCAAAACAGCTTTTACAAGATAATCCAGATACCAATAGAAAGCTTTTTCTAACAGCAATAATGCTTAGACAAAGAAAAAAGGGTGATCTTCAAAGGAGCTTTGGGAACCACGAATAGAATAGATATTTTTAATGAATGAATTGTGCATATATTAGAGACCCAATGAAGTCAAGGAAATGCCTAAGAGAGGAATTTTCTTTCGGTCCTAGCTGTTCTTCCAAAACTTAATATATGTTGAAAAAGCTGGTGGTCTAAGGGGCCAGAATGGACTGCAATGATAATTGGGGGGCATGCCTCTAATTTTCATCTACTGATCTACTCCATAATTGCAATGACAAGGTAGTCTCTATGGGAAAGTGCCAAAATAATATTGCTGCAAAAATAATGTTTTTGGACAACAAATTCCCAAGACCAAACAGCATTCTATCCTGCGCCAGCAGCTAACCTCTGGGCCAACAAAATTGTCTCGTCTCTGCTAACCCACAGCAAACCAAAAAAAAAATCCCCATTATATTCTAATTCAATATCCCGAGTCACTCCTTACAGGAATTCAAATGGTAAAAATAAGCAAATCTAAGAGTAATCCAACCTCCCAGGGTGAGAAAGCCTTTAATTACTGAATGATTTGAATTTGAAGTCCAGACTTCAAGAAGAAATAGCCCAGTGATAGCTCATGGACGAGGGAAAGTCAGATAGCACTTCTCTAAGCTAGGATCCTATGTTAACACCTTTCTTCTCTTAATTTATTGTTAGTTACAGGGGCAGACAACTCACAATTGTGACTTTCTCATATATAATAATATAAAAAAGGAGAGACCAATGATAGATGTAAACCTAAGCCAATCTGACATAAAGGAAAATACTTCAGGAAAAAATCATTCCTCTGTGGGGTGATAGTCAAACCTTTTGCAGTAAAAAAGGACAAATGGCGAGAAGGAGCAGTTAAGGGCTTGCTACTCAAAAATTTATAGCCAGCTAAAGAACCATAGGATGAGACAACTTGAATATCCATATTCAAATGAGCCAAACTAATTTTAGATTAATTTTCAAACCAGAAAAAGCCTCTTTGGACTTAGATTTAGAAGGAATATTCACAAAAAAAAAGTGACACTATCCTCCTCCAATAATGACACGCATATGCCATGAAGAGCCTATCCAAAAGCTTAAGTTACTGATTAAAAGACACATGAATATTTTAATACTTTGATTGAAGACCCCGTTGGGCTCAAAGGGAAGATAGTGCACAAACTTGTGCTAAATTTCAACCTTTTATCATTTAGATAAATGGATGAAGCAACGATTGAACTTTAAACCACATGGTGGTACAGGCTCTAACACCAAGTCAAGAGCATGCAGTCTCAAAAGCTTGTGTTGTTGATTGAACATATTAATGAATTTATACTTTAATGACATGTGTCACATCACATATCATACACTTGATTGAAGCTAAAAATAAATACCTGTAGAAAGTCTTTGGGCTTCCGTAATAGTAGTTGAGGACTTCTAGCAATAACCTGATTTAACTTTTTGTTCCGAACTCCTAGTTTAGCAAATTGATCTACCATCAATTCCAGCTTGCTAGTTGAACAACTCAATAGATGAGGGTGGCTTTCAATTGCACGGTCTATCTGTGTCTTTGAAACCTAAAACGAAGCATTCTATTAATAGTCCAGTCCTGCTACAAATCCCTCCTCAAGGGTGGTATAGAAAGGTTGTTGAACTATTTAAATATAAAACATAACTTACACTTTTCACTATAAAATATGTTTTCATGTGAAAAAAATGATTGAGAAACAATAATTCAAAAAAATCTCCTTAGTTTCCTTTCAGTAATGATAAATCCAGTAACATATGCGTAAAAAATAAAAAGGATAAACGGAATCATGACAGAACAAAATTGTACCTTGATAGAATAAGAAAAAGCAAGGAGCTCCGCATAATTCTCTTGAATACTTGTCGATAGAAGCCAAGGATATTTTAGCAGCAACTTGGCATAATCCTGATCAGCCACGTCGATCTAAAAAATAACATAATAGTAACTTATTAATGCAAGGTAGGAATTGAGATTAACATGATGATGAGTGGGTTTAATAATAAGGAAAACAGTTAATGAAGAATAGAATGGAAGGGGAGGTAGGTACATACCTGCTGGAAGGCGAGGAGTCTAGTTTGAAGGAGTTGAAGATTCCAGAAGAGAAGAGGAGGGAAAGCCAGTATTATGTTTGAGATGCGAGATGTGGGGATTCCAAAATTGTGGAGCGAATCCAGTATGCGGGGTAAGTGGTTGTCAACTGATAAGTGAAGGAGACGAGGGAAGGTTTGTATCAAGGAACAGAAAGCGGCATCTTGGGAAGCCAAAGTGTTTAGGCCACCAGGCTTTGCTTGAAGCTTTTCGAAAAAGGAGAAGGTGCGTTGGAGGTCTTCGTCAATTGAAATGGACAAGTAGCGCATTGTGAGGCGAATGTATTTGATGAGCAACGAGGGGTCGTGATCGTTATCAGGGGGAGAAAAGAAGAGTTGCTTGATGCGCGTAACCTTGTGAATGAGAGTGGGGAGGGTTTGAGTGGAGAGATATCCGGCGACGTTGATAGACCAAGAGAGAGTGAGACCCAGAGTCTCTAAGTAGGCAATTTTCCCCTTGTCGCCCTTTTCGGCGGCAACACGAAGAATCTTATCCTTGAAGCTCAACCCCGCAGTTTGTTCATCTGCCTCCCACCCCCACTCATCCAATTCCCTCACACCTTCCACCAACATCTTCACATACTCCGCGGAATTCCACGCTATGGACACCGACTCCTCCTCCGGCACTCCCAATTCTCTCAGATAACTTGAAACGGCCTCGCGAGCTTCCTGCACTTCCCATTCCCGTTGCGAACTTGAAACACCCTGTTTCTGTGACTGTGACTGTGACTGTGACTGTGACTGTGACTCCTCCGAACCACTACAACAACGCCAATTTGATCTTCTTCTTCTTCTTGCTTTATCATTATCGACTTCAAACGGAGCAGGAGCATGAGGATGCCTGGATAACACGCACTTACTCAACGCAAAACAACCCTCATGCTTGTGTGGCACTGGGAATGGGACTGCAACCGGGACAAACCAGTTAGTGTGAATTTTAACCAACATTATCACATTACTTTACAATCATCTCTCGCATCAAGAAAACCATCCCCTCCCATATCCTTTACCCTGTGACTACCACCTCCAAGCCCAACCCTATGTCTTCAAATTTATTCTTAAAAGTAAAATCATTATATTATATTCACATATAAATATTTGTTGTCTCAGTTATAATTATATTCTTAATTCTTAAATCTTGATTCAAGACTTTGATTTTGATTTTCCTTTATTTATAAATTTAGTTTTTTTTTTCATTTATTCCTTTAACCTAAAATTTTCTTTTCATATATATATATATATATATATATATATATATATATATATATATATATATATATATATATATATATATATATATATATATATATATATATATATATATATATATATTACATTGTTAACGACATGGATGCGCCTAAAGGGGACATATAAGGTTAAACTAATGATGAAAAAATTATTTTTAAAAATATTTATGTAAAGTATTTTTCATTCTCCATAATTTAGATGGAAATTTATTTTAGTTTCTCAAATTTAAAATTTATTTTTTTAGTTCCTTAAATATAAAAACGATATTCTAAGTCGCTCAAATGTAAAATTATTTTTTCGTTCCTTTAAATACAATTTTTTTTAATTTCCGATTTTTTATGTCTTCTAATTTAAAAACAGTGTATTTTCTTTTTTAAAGTTGGTGTTGTTCAAAATTAGTTTATGCAATTAGTACATTTAATATGATAATGATGATTTTAATTGTGTCGGGATATTTCTTATTTCTCATGTATTTTTTTTCTCTTTATAAAAATCATATAAGCGATTGCTACTAATATAGATTATCTTCTATCTTTTTATATTAAAACATTATTTAATAATTTAAATTTTGAAAGTTTAAAATGGTTGACAAATCATATTTTAGTATTATTTGAAAATATAATTTTAACACTTAAATATCTTCATACAATAATAAAAAGGTTACCATTTTATGGGTAAAAACATCCCTATTTAAAAAAAAATGAACTAAATGAAAATAATAAGTTTTGTCATGAGTTTTGAACTAGAGATGTTAGTTATTTTTCCCAACCTAAGAACTAAAAAAATAATTTTAATTTTTAAGAACTACCAAAAGAAAATCAATTTTGAATTTAAGGAACTAAAAAATATTTTTAAATTTTAAGAACTAAAATAAAATTTGACCTATATTTAAGGCATTAATAAGATATTTTAGTAAAAAAAAATAAAAGTAGAATTTTTTGACCTATATTCAAAGACAAGAAACAGTAAATTTTAGTTTAGAATATTAAAGAAAAAGTTATCCAAATTTTTAAGGAGATAAAAATATACTTAAACATTTTTTTTTAATTTTCAAATTAAGATATATTTTATTTCTTTAGTGTAATTCAACTCTATATCAAAGATTTTAATTTGAATTATTGACAAAAAAATATAATAAATAAAATTCTATTTCGTTAAGTTTTGCTTTTGAGAAAAAAAAAAAAAAAAGATTATGAAAGGATGGAGTGATGAATCTCTCCTTTCATAAGGTTCGAGATCGCCAAAAATAGTACTTTATTCTTTTGAAAGAAAAAGAGTTATGTTTTGAGATAAAATGTTACGTAAGTTATTAATGGTTACTGTGAAGGAAAAATATGATATCTTTGTGTGTAATCTGCTGAAGATAATTGTTATTTATAATCCTTTATTTCTAAGAATTACTTTTCGAAAAATGTATTTGGTCATCAAGTTAATGGGAAAAAACATTGGATACTAGTCCATCATGATGAAACTCAAATCTATGTAAAAACTGAAATAATATTTTAAATTAAAGTGATGTGAGGCATTTTAAATCAAGTCATAATGCTTAAATTATTCGACTCTTAAATATAAATAATTATAACTTATTATCATATATAACTTTTGCTTTATTGATAAATTATAATTAATATTAGAGTTAAGATAAATTAAATCACAATATTTTGTTATGCTGTTAATGAGAAAGAGTTATATTAAACTTAACAATAAACACTTTTTTTAATATGAAGACGTTAGTCATGACTATTTTATAGTCAAATTCAATTCTTTAAAACATAAGTAGAAAATTTTGTGAAATGAGTCTTGATATATGCTATCTATTTGATATTGAAAATATGGTCTGTTAACTTTTTTGCAAAAATGAATATTATTGTCAACACTTTTATGTGGGTTCATTTTTTATGCTTCAAATTTTATGATGATAATTTTTTCTATGATGACTTTAATTTTAGATAAACTTAATGAAAAATATCATCCTTTAAGTTAATTATAATATATTTATTAAGGTTAAATTTGTGTTGTGAATGATCTTAACCCATTTTGATGGAAAGAATCGATCATTAATACAAAATGTAGTATAAATGTCTCAATTTATCATATGATAAATGTGACCACTATAATTAAAAACCGTAGAACTTTTACCACAATTAATATGAATAATATTATGATAATGATTGATCATGAAATATATAATATGGTAATTGTAATCATTAATGGTTTAGCTCATAGTTCAAAGAAATAAAAAGAATATTAAAAAAAAAATCATAGATATAACACCTAACAAAATAAGATAGAAAAAAAAATCCTACTAAATGTACCCTTATAAAATTTGTTAATTTAAGGGAAAATGACAAATTTAAATCACACCACCATGAGTTATAAATCTTAAACCAAATATAAATGTTTAAGAAAATATAAGATATTTATTTTTATTGGAGGTTTATGCTTGGAGAGATCAATTTCACATTATTGCTATATTTTAAGTTTCTCTTTCTTTGTTATTGAAATTTGAGAGTATTATTATTTTGATGTATTGACTGATTATAGGTATTTGTTTCTGCATTTGACCTGACTCTCTTGTACCCATATTTCATCTTAGTAGATTTTGATTGATTGACTTATGTCTATAGGTCTTTACTTCGTACATTAAAATTATTAGTATTTTTTTGTGATTATTGTTGTTATTTTCTATTGTTATTACTCTTCACATATTTTTGCAACTTCTAGGAAATTATTTTTGTTATATAATAAACTTGAATATATCTAAAGATTCTATTTTAAGTGAGGACGGAGAATAAAGATAAAAAGAATAAGTATGAAGAGAATGATCATGATGATTGTGTTACTATTACATGTCGTGGTTTTATTTTTCTTTGTGACTATGCTTCTGTTGATCTTGTTTGAGATGATACCATGCAAATAATTGATAACGGTGTTATATTACACTGTTAAACTGAGGAAAAATTTATTCATATATTATATTTTTGATGATTTTAAAGTGTTAAAAGAGTAACTATAGTATGTCAAAGGTTGTTGGAGGTCAACAAAATTTATACAAATTTTAAATGATGTTGATATAATAACTAAGATAGTATCAAGACACATCTTTTTCTTTTTATCTCAATTGTAGGTAAAAGTCCATAATAACACAAATAACGATTTTTTTTTCCATTGAAACACTCAACCAAATTAAGTTAGATAGTATGAATAAATAGTCAATAATCACAATTAGAAAACATGTTGGACCTTTGACAAAGAGTCCACCTGAAACTCTAGAAATAATATGATATATTTTGTTAATTAATTACATATTATTGCATCACATATTTCATTCATTGTCAAAGTGGCTTTGCATATACTTCCCCTCTCCATCCGAAAAGTTTTCACTTAATACAGAGAACAAGCAAAAATTTAAAAGAAAGATTAAAAAAATAAAAATAAATCAAAGAACATTTGATGAAAAAAAAAATTATCATTCCCCTAGAAACATATCACAACTTTATTTTTCTTTAAGTTTTCCTCCTAATAATCTTTGATATAAAAATGAATTATAACTTTAGAGATTATAATCTTTGATATAAAATATTCCAAGAAATTATAACTTTAATACTATAAAGTTGAATAAATTTTGAAATCTTTAACACTTGTTATAATTTTTATCCTCATATTAAAATGATAGGTGAAAAATTGGTGCAAGTAAACATTTAAACCCTAACTACTTAAAAAATAAATAATTATTACGTATAGGGTAATTTGAAAATTTTGTCTTATAATAAATTTAAATCAAACTTTTCACATTATTACTGTATAAAATATTTTACTTCTTTTTGGAAAAAAATATTTTCATTTATATAAGTTAATTAATCTAAAATATTAAAGCATTTAATACTTTGTTATATTTATTTTTAATTAATTAATAAAAAATAACTATAACAATAGAATTCTAAAATACTATTTACACTTATTTAAAATTTAAGTAAGACACAAAATACTGCAACTCTTGAATATAGGAGAAGGGTAAAACTTGAAAAAATTTAAACATTTTATTCCCAAACTTCATCAAATATTAATTTTTTTTATACCAATAAAATAAGACGCAGTACTCCTCTAATTTTAAGTTCAAATTTAACTTTTTAAGGATTAAAACGTTGATTTGAAACTTTTTATATTGACATTCCAAATTAAAAAAAAAAAGTCAACTATTTGGAAGAGATTTGTATATTACTTTAAAATATAGAATATTTATAACAATCTCCTAACAAATATAATTAACCAATATTTGGTTAGATATAAGAATAAGAACATGATGATAAGAAAATGATATATATATATATATATATATATATATATATGTTATAACAAACATTATAAGTAATAATCTTATTTCAGTATTCGCGAAATAAAATATCAATTATGACAGTTTTTTTTATTATTATACATATAGTGTTTAAGAATTAAGAGTAGACTTTTAATTTATTGATTTTATAAATTATGGAAATTATAAAAATATAATTTTAATTCAATTATATAAAATTATATTTTATTTATAAAACTACTTTTTCATATTATAAAAAAATAAGATTTTAAAATTATAAAATGAGTATTTAAATAATAAATATATAATTTTAATATTTAATAAATAATATAATTCAACTTTTCTGTCTCACAATAATTATAAACATAAATACATGTAAGGTATAATATATTAAATAAAAATTTATGATATATATATATATTATCATATAAATTAATGTTT